AAGATGAAAGACTATGGAGCTCTTTGGTGTTTGAAACTACCTTTTGTTTATTATCACATTGTTTGTTTTAATGCTATTGTCTGGATGTTACAAAGTAAGCTCAATAATCATCGTATGCCTTCCTTATTACCTAAATCATGTCTGCATGTTTAGAGTTCAAATACAAGTGGTTCAAATCTTTGCATCCATGGATGGACAAGACTCGGTATGCGATGAACCTGATGAATCAGAATACAACTTTGTTCATTCAAGCACGGAATATTATATAATGAACGATGAAGACGAGAATACTTGAGAAATATTTGTGGGAAAGGTCTTTCGAGATGACGAGTTTGATAGTTATGCAGAGAGTGATGAGTAGTTTGAGTACAGTCCTAAAAATCAGAAAGGTTTGTGTATCAAATGGAGGTACGTTTGTTCATGCTAATCGTTTTTTTTGTTTGTTTGTTGTGAATTATGCTTTGGTTATTCATTGATTTTCGATCTGGATTCTTGAAATCGACCGTGGTTTCACAAGTTAGGTTCTGTTTGCTCAGAGGTAATTAACAGCCATTAGAATTTAGAATGGAAAGAACCAAATCCTGTTTTCACAAAGCAATTGTTTCAGTTGATGAAAAAAATACCCTATCGATTTCACTTATCGCAGTAATATGCGTACTAGGTAACAACATTCGTAACAAAGGTATCCCCGAAGTTGAGATCTTGCACTTGGATTTAATCTTTTCCACCGCTGCTTTGATGATCGATGGGGACGGTACACTGAACCATTTTAAATACCATGAGAGAATAATTATATCTTTCTGCAACTTTGAGTTATAATCATAAGGCCAAGCTTCTGAGGTCAAGTAATTTCTCAAATTAATCTTCAGCTCCGTCGAGAAATTCAGAATCTCTTCACACCTTTTTCCTAGTGATGCTAAGAAGATTGATTGAACAAAGCCACCTGAAGAGGCCAGTTTTCCACTTGATACCGCCTCGTTGTAGGCAAGAGCAACCTGGGAACACAAGATTAGATCCAAAAAAAAGCAAAACCAAAGCAGATTACAAAATGTAAATCAATTTTTTTTCTTTTCAGTCGTGTCATTGTAGGAAGAGTACCTTGAGACTTGAGATGGCAAGTGAATCACACACATTACTATCGCTTTTGGCAAGTACCTCAGCCATAGAACCAATGGTTGTATACAAAGATAAATAAACCTATAAGAATCATGTAAGATATATTAGAATAACATATGCCAAATAAACTGTAACAAGAATGTTCCAAACTGTATATAACCATTGAATAATTGAGTTAGGAGGCTTAAGTAGCAATCACCTGCAAAAGCGCTGGTCTATCCTTGCTTATACAGTCAAACAACACTTGCAGACAGAACTCCTTGAAATCAGAATCAGATCTGCATAAATGGGTTTGTTAAGACCTTTCCCTTTTGGGATTCTATAAATAGATACGAAAACTAATGAACTCTGTTATGAGTTATGAGGAAGAACCAGAATGAAGACGGATAAAACAGTACTTACCTGTCATTCCAAGATTTGTCACAACACAGCTGTGCAAAGGCTATTAGGCTTGGATCCGATGAGAAAGTGCTCACCAAGTGATCAACGCTATCAGAATCCAGTTCTCTATGACTATTAGCAAGCATATTAGATTCATCCAGAGTTCTTAAACCAAAAACCTGCATCACCAAAAGCATCTAAACCTGTATCAGAATCCATTTCTCTAGACTGAAAATGAACATATCTGAGACGAGAGTATATGATGGTGTTACAACCTTATGCATTGCTCGTGAAAGCAGTGACTGGCACCCAACTGGATCATCGACATACGAACAAGCTCCTACTTTCCTTTTGACATATATAACACCAGAATTGAAGGGATCACTCTTGTCCCCAAAGCTCCACCAATGTTTCTCTGTTTTTTCAGTGGGTCAAAATTAAAATACCTTAAAACCAGCTAACAAAATGACCTAGGAGTAAAAAGGACTATATATATGCAAATGCATCAACCACCTTCCGGGACAAGCTCAACTTGTTGGGGCCAGTATCGGGGACCACAGACACAAATTCTCTTTAGCTGCAGGATACAGATACATTTTTAGGTGAAGTCGGACGAAAGAAGCAGATAGAATCAGTGAAACAAAAATACGTAGGGGAAGTAAGGCAACTTGTTGAACTTTTCTTACAATAGCACGCTCTGGCAGAATGCACGGGGTAACCTCGCAAAATTTTGTTTCTGAATAAAGTTCTGTCTCTTTGACTGTCACTTCTAGAGGGGCATATACAGGCAGACCGGAATCAACATCAATAGTCTGCAGCCAACGAGCCTCTGTTGCAAGGACATATAAATGCCTGAATGCCTAAAAAAGAAAAGGAAAAAAATCACCTTATCAGATGCATTCTGGCCAAAAAGCATGGATACACAACATAAGTTAGAAACCAATTTCCAAGCTTGGCATGTCTTTGACATCACACTCCACAAAAAGATTGGTGTTGGGTAACATTTTCTATAGAGACGAAACTCTTGCTTCTATAGAAACGAAATCAGACAGAGAAAGTAACCAAACCAGGCAATAAATAAGAGATTTAAACTTGCCTGGAGGTGACAACGATTGTCATTTGGTCCAGAAGGCAACCGTGGATAGAGAGTGATAAGCAACATTGCGAGTGAGCCATTATTCGTTGAAAATGTCCGCATACCACCTCCAAGAAACAAGAACCCCGTGGCTAAGCTCACCTAAAGGAAAGAAAAATATGCTGTCTCATATATATATATTTTTTTTTAAAGTAGATGGAATTCACTCCACAAGAACGTTTTACAAAAAAAATTTGACTAAGAGATCTCTAACAAATATGCAATTCTAAGCTTGCTATAGGTCTTACATTTCTGATCGCATCACTAAAGCTAAAGCAATATCAGCAGCTTTTAAATTACTTTACACGTGCAAGCAGTTCAGTGGTACATTAGAGACGAATTGATTTGACCACAATATCAGATTAATTAAGGAAAAAGCTAAAACTTCCTTATGTTTTGGGTGGTTAGTGACCTAACTTTTTATTGTTTACAAGATTGCCAGTCACTTCAATTGGATATAGATAACTGCTCCAGAATATAGATTTTAATAAGTCAATTTCAGAAATAAAATGCAAGTGCTTACCGCCATTTGAGTGCCATAGTTAGCATGTCCATCAGCAGAGTTTCGGCTGCGGAGAAATCTCAAAAACCGAAATACTTGCAAGTCTCCTGATCCCGCCATGACCTACACAAGTGAGTCCGTCGACATAAAGCTACTGACTTGAATATTGAAAAGAATACTTCAAAAAGAATGAAAGTATTACCACTGAGAGGGAAAGAATGATAAGATAAAGACACATTTCAAGTGTTCCTCGATCAACATATTTAGATATTCCCCTGGGAAATGCATTTCCAGGTGTAGCAGAAACAGGCTTGATCTACATACATCAAAACATATAAGCTCAGATTGAGATGATCAGAAGGAAATCCAGAGAAGTCTTTTAGCATTTGAGGGAGGATAAAGGAGTAACAAATATAACATTCCAAAGGATGATATACCTCATTCAAAAGATAGAGAGCGTAGTTGTTAAGTAAGTCACGAGCATTTCCATCTCTTGTACCAGCAAATCTCAGTCCTATAAGAAACAGCAAAACGTGTCATAAAAATCATGACATATTAGAGACTGATATCTCATAAAAAAGTAGATTATATACCAAGCGAAATGCAGGCCCCAGCTACTATATTGACATATGCCTGCACAAGGGCTTCAACATCCACCTCATACATATCATCCATGTCATCTTGGAGGTGTTTGATACCATCTTTGACAAATTCGGGAACTTGAGACTGAATCCAATCACACGTAGGACGGATCCTATGATACGAAATCTATTAGACTTATGGTCTTTGAAGCATCAATGACAGCACTCCTAATTAAGTAAGATAAAAAAAAATACCTGCTCCACATTATCAAGTTCCGAGCAATGACGCGGAGCATTATGAAATCAGGCCTTACACACTTCAAATCATAGTGTGTTTGTGGAATAGAAAGCTTTGAGAAGATGACCTCTGATTCTGTCTGCAACAAACATTATATAAAGCTTTCTGAAAGTCCATACTCCACATGAAAAGCACAACGAACCTGTTATCTCATTAACCCATCCTCAAGACCCACCTTAAGATACATTAATGCGAGAGCGATTATTGCTCCAGGTGCAGTTATATCAACATTGGAAGTGTTTCCGTCTATTATCTGAGACAGAAAAAAATGATAACCACATAATTAGAATTCAGCAAGTGTTTAAGGCACATGCTTTTGCACGATACAAGCTTCACAAAGGAATATATGAAGAACATATAAGTAGGGAAACCTGTGCAGCACTTCGGTGATCTTCATTTGATGGTGCAAGGAGAGATCTTTCCTGTAGGGATTTCAAGGAGTTATAAAGAACAACAATAGACACTGTTTAAAAATCCAATGTGATACGATTTAGTTCCTATCAACAAAGTAACGAAGAGTGGGATACAATTAATGTGAAATCTAGAGAATAGACAATTAACCTCTTTTGCTCCCAAATACTGGAGTAAGCGATTGACAAAGAAGTCCATGGAACTGAGCGCATCACCTCCACGGCCTTGAGCCAAAAGTACATAGAGTTAACTTAAATAGAAGAGAAAAAATTCAGTAGCCAATAACCAAAAAGACATACCCAAAGCAACAAGACCAAGTGAGAATCCTGCAGATACAGCATAACCCTCCCTTTCAAGAACATTGTCCCCTGCACTTCTGCGGCCAATTTCACCCTGAGAACATGTAGAAACGGAATTTGAAAGATAAGGGACGACCCACCAGAATTGCAGAGCACTAAATTGCCAATTAAAAGATATTCAAAAACTTAATTGACGTTTTAACGCACTCCAATTGTAT